GAATTTCTCAATTTTTCGTTTTCTACCTATCCGAACATGGTTCGGTCTTTATTTTTCTGCAGACAAACCGCATTCTACAAGCCTCCCATCTTTTGATATGTTATTCTAAACTCAATTACCTTTCTAGGAAGGTATCACACGAGTTATTTTGATCTCGTTTGATCCGGATATCGCCGTTTGAAGTTGGACAAACAAAGCTGCCAGCCAACCCCAAAACAGCTCCAAACATCAATCACTCCATGAATTACTGCAGAAAATTCACTTAACTAATTGCTCTCAAATTTTTATACAACAAACTATATACCTCAATATTTAATTTGACATATCATAAACTTAATTTGACTAAGAAACAAAGCAGAAATAAATTTCCCAAAACCGGTCCAGAACTGCCACAAGTGCAGTGAGCAATTGGGTAGTCTGCACTCTCTGCCTTCTCCAGGCCGGTTTTCAACCCAGAATTCTATCAAATTTTACTACAAGATAGAGGAAATCTTAAGCTTCAAAATGGCGTATGGAACGTCCTTATCGGACCTCTTTGGAGGGAGATATTTTCTCCCAAAGTTAGCCTAAATTCTGCCAGTTCTACAGAAAATCCGCCAGAGTTTCCTTTGTTTTTACAAAAATCCCCAAATTGAAAATGTATTCTAAGACCTCAAATGTACCTAATATTCAATGGGTGGCACACACAAGGACCAACAATGCCTTGGGGCATTTACAACCCAACTCAGTTTATAGTTATTACACAATTCATATCATATTGCTCACTTGATTAATACTTAATACGTTTCAATCATCAAAGTCCATTTACATGCATTTTCTAAGCATTCACATAATCATAATCCTAAAGTAGGCCTAAAGCCTTTCCATCATATTATATCAAGTATCCACGGTACAATTACAATATCTCAATTACATATTACAACTTACAATTTCATAACTTTAAATTACAACTTGAAACATAAAGCTCAAAATGACATATATACAACTAGACTTAGGCAAAATGACATGAACAAATGTGACTATGAATCTCCTCCTACATACATATGGGATGTTTATGCCCTAAGTCTATCCTAGGCCAATGGCCATCAAAATGCAAAAAGTAGAAATGTTCTCCAACACTCATCTACGGGCTTCTTGCTCGCCGCTCCTGTGCCACTGCTACCTCCTGAAATAAAGCCCCCAAGACGGGGTGAGATATACGAATATATCTCAGTAACCCAGAGGTTCTGGAGAAAACTCTGCCCAATGGCTTACTTCGATGCATATAAATAATATACAATAACATCTTGAAAAACGGGATATAGCAAGGGATTTAGAGAAATTGCGGAATATAGGGATACAAAATACGACGAAGTTGGAATGGTAGCTACCAATACCACGCAACGTCCTGCCTAATGGCTCGGCATATAAACCTACGGGTCTCATCCAAGGCGTGTTCCAAGAACATCCAACCAAGGTACCCCTCCCATCCGCATACACCCGAGACTTCCTAGAGTGCTCCTATCCGGATCACACACCACGACCCTGGGTCAACTGGAACTCCCTCTCGGAGACCTATCCAGTGGAAGTCCGAAACGCCCGAAGGCAAAACTGTCTACTGGCCAGAGACTCGGTACCTACGTACCAACATATATACTACATGCATGATCATGTTATTCTACATTACTCGTATACATTTCCTACCATCACCCTCAACGGGTATGGTGGAACACACAAGGGGATCAAGCCCCAGTACCAAGAGGTTACCTTAATAAGCCTCTTCACTTAGCTCCACAGCAGTTTACTCTCCGAGCTCGTTACTCAACAGAATGCCTACACAGAGGACATTCCCAATTACTCAAAACTCATACGGACACATGCCAGTTACCAATTATACAAGCATGATTCAATCACTTACCTCAATCCCACTTGGTCCAGGACCAAGGGCAATCCACTGACTCACGGTTCGGGGTTCAATTCGACGTACGGCAACCTACAACAACCATGTACGAATCATCAGTACACGGCAATTCTACCAGAACACGAAAAACGTCAAAAACCTCCCCTACACTTTTGTAGGTTCGGCCTTTGAAGACTTATTTTACAATTTATTTTTCTAAATTTTCTTTCTCATTTTATTAAGCATCCTTGGGTTACCAAAAGGCCATACCAAGTGCCATTTTTCATTTTACGTATTTTAAACGTCGTTTTGCTTAATATCTCACTCTAGGATCCTTTATGACTCTCAACACCATCAATTATTTTTCATTGATTCTCTAAGCTTCCAACTACCACACAACCCATCTAAATACCATTTAACACATGATACATCATCCAAGAAATACCAACAACATCAAACCCCTAAAATTCCCTAAATGGCCGAATTGTCACCTATGCAATTCCAAAGGATTTTCACTCAATTTTAACCACTCTACACCTCATACAATCCCATTATATCAACATACAATCATACAACAACTCACAAATCCAATCCTAACACATTTTCAAAACTCAAAGTCATGACACCCTAAAATTTTCTAAGTTAAAATTTCACAATTTTCATGGCATTTCTAGCTCTAACACATCATTTTAAGACATTATCATCTAATACACATTTTTTAATTGAGCTCTCTAAACATATCAATCACAAAATCCCCCTTTAGGGTTCATAAAATCAATCCAACAATTAAACCATGGAAATGATGTAGAAACTTACTCAAGAGCTTGGTACAAGGCTCCTCCTAAACATACTCCACATTGGAGCATCTAAAAACTCCATGATCACAAATCTACCAACTTGAGTCGCGGCCTTTGGGGAGGTTTTCCTCAATTTCTAATGGTTTTCAAGGCTTTAAAACACTACCAATGGGTATGGAAGGTGATTTGCAATGGATTTCAAGCCAATGATCACTTGATTTGGTGTAGAAATGATGGAGTTATGGAGAAATGAAAGTTTGAAGTGAAATGGCTCATGGGAGGGGAAGGGCCGCGGGTTTGCTTGGAGGAGAGGAAGGAAGTGATGATGAATAGTGTCCTAGGCTTAAGTGGTTTAAGTGGGGTGGTTCCCACTGCCACCTCACGCGTTTTCAAACTGATTTAACTCTTGTTTAATCCACTAAACGTCCGTAAATTCACAACCTATTTAGAAACTCTAATTTTTAACATTAACCATTGTCCTTTAATTATACTTGATCAGATGAATCCGGAGTTTTACGGTCGTTCGGAGAAAATGTTGTTTTAAGTTGTTGCGCGCGCCGTTGGCACGCTTCTCCAAACTTACTTATTTCCATCAAACTTTATCAGAATTCATATTCCCTAGTTCTATAAACCATTTATAACTCATATTTAAAACCTAGAGCTCAAAACTCAGTCGGCATGTTTTACGGTGCAACTGTACTGCGGTACTTTTACCCGGTAAAAACACTATTAACTACCAACAAAGCCCAGCACAGTTGGTAGATAGTTGGGTTCCTTAAGCATGCTGACAGGGGTTTGATCCCTGGTCGTGCGTATGGAAAAGGCTTTATTGGGAGAGGTTTACCCACTTAATATGATCTTCCGTCTCAAAAAGATTAGTCTTCAGCTGTCGCCTGGAGGATACCTTGGGAAATCACGTGAGAGAAAATAAACTAGTTTTGATAATTACAACATGTGTCAATAACCTATTTTTCCTTTCCCACTTATTACAGAAAGAATTGGTATTGTGCGTATATCATACGTAAATTAATATGAAAGTAATAGTAATATGTTTATAAATATTATATTAATAATTTTTAAATATTTTAATTTTTTAATTCTTTAGAATCATTTCTATTATAATTTCTTAATTTTACTCATTGAGTATATATATATATATATATATATATATATATATTTGGCTATAATTGGTTCGTATAACCAATTATGAATAAGTAAGATTTTTAGGAATTTTTTTTAAAAATAATCGTAATCGAATAAATATGGATAAGTAGTTTACCGGAAAAAAAATATATGCGTAAGTAAAATTTGAAAAAAAAAATCAAATAGGACATGAGTAACTACCAAAATAAATAAATAAATAAATAATGAACTAAACAAAACTAGGCAGCCTCATTGATAAGACATAAAAGTTTTTCTATACTAAAACCAAATAAAACCTTAGTAATGATATCTAAACCAAAGTTTTTTTAATCTTATTAGAGAAAGGTATAAACATCAGTTGATTGAGTTAGCTCTTAATTAAGGATCATAACTCAGTTTCCTAAAATTTTAAAAGAAATCCACGCCTGTCATAAAAAAAATAAAAATAAAAAATAGCGCTAAGCCAAAAGTTTATTTGGGCCAATCATTTTTGGCTCCAAAATTTCAGAGTTTCAACTTTAATTACGTCATGATGAGTATGTTTTACTGCCAACTTTTAAATATTTCCTTTGACTCCCTCCTTTTCCTAACCTTATTTGAAGATCTCCCTCTTGTCTTGTCCCCTCCATATTTTGTTTTCAAGTTTTCCCTTCCCTCCATCCAACAATCAACAATGACAGCCTCCATTAAATCTCATATTCTAAGTTCCATGTGCAATTATTTAGTGTAAAATCATATGGAAAACCAAAAAAATAAAATAAAATAAGGAAAGAATAAAAAAATCCTCCAAAGTTGAAAATTCTCAATTTTTTGTCCTACCCTCCATCTCTTTCACTCTCCCTCCTCCATTCTAATTTCAAACATTCCCATCAACAATGTTTATATATATACCTCATTTCACCACCCCATCCACCACTGCAAAGTGCTTCTCTTTCTCTCTTACCATAACCTCATAGTGTTGCAATGGAGGCCGCTACCATGCCCAATGAGAGTAACAAAGAGAACACCCCTCCAGTTTGTACCAAGTGGGAGAAGAAGAAGAAGAACCCAATTCCTCTCATGGCTCAATCTTTCAAGAAGAACAGTAAGACGAAGATGAAGAGGATCCCTCTTGCTGATATCACCAATGTCTTCAACAACTCTGCAATGTTAACAATGGCCCACGAAGAAGAGAATGGAGTTCATGCTCTGCCTTATGCATCTGTTCTGCTTCATTCAAATTCTCGGGGGAGGACACTGGCGGTGGTTCATGGTTCTAAAACATTGAGGATGGGATTCAGCTTGTAATTTGCACATTTTTAGGCTGCAATTTTTGTTTTTGTTTTGTTACAATATTGGATTAATTAAAATGAAATACATTGTATAAAAGAAGTAGATTGTAAAGAACGAAGACAATTTCCATCCGATTGTTATCTTTACAATGTAGGATTATTGAAAATTAATACTTTAATAAAAAAAAATCTTCTCTTTTAAATATCATTACTTTTTTTTTATTTGTTAGTTTTTTATTTAAGATGTTATTTTTAATTGGAATATAATATTATATCTACAGCTCTCAAGGGGTAGTTTGTCCCATTAGATCGTAGTTCGTGTGAGTTTGAGTCAAAATATTAGTAGGGCAAAATGACCCATAATTATAAAGACATGGACCGATCAAAAGCCTATGAGTTAGGGATAGTTGCTATTAGGGTGTTCATCAACCGATTCAAACCGCGGTGATCGAACCGAAAAATCGATAACCGAATAAACCGAAAACTGAAAAACTGAAAATCGATTAAAAACTGCAAATTTTAATTGGATTGGATGGGTTGATGAAAACCGATTCAATCCAAACTGATCTAATATATTAATTTCCCTCTATCTACTTGGGTATTTATCTAATCATAGCCTAAAAATTTCTAAATCCAAGACCCATTAACCCATCAACTAAACCCAAGAACAGATCTAGCCATATCTCATCAACAAAATTTTATCTTTGTAGAGCTTCATATCTCATTGTCGAAATTAAAAAAATTATATTATAGTTTACTAATGCTTTTGTATTTAAAAAAAAAAAATTTACAAAGGCAATATATAAAAAAGATGTTATTTGCACAATAATCATGAAATAAATTTTAGGATTTTCAAAAAATCGAGAATCAATCTAATCAAAACCGAAAAAAAATTGGATTGGATTGGATCGGATTTGAAAAAAATCAAAACCGAATGGATGATTATATGATCAAACCGAAGGGATTGAATCCGATGATTTTTGTTTCCAAAACCGATCCAATCCAGACCGCGAACACTCCTAGTTCGTATGTCATCTAAAATTATAATTTCAACTTTTTTATCATATTCAATGCATATAAAATTATTTTAACAAGTAATATTTTACACTAATACTTTCATAAAATATTCTATATAAAATATAAATTTTTTATAAATGAAAAATATTTGTCATTTTAAAAGATAATTATTTAATTAAAAGCATTATTTTTATTTAATATTTAAATTAAATAAATCTTTCACTTTCTCACACTATATTTCTATTGTGTAAATCTTTTTTTCATCATAAAACATTGTAGTTTTGACTAAAATTGTAAAAATTATATATATTTTAAAAGGATAAATACTAATCCCTTTAATTTTTTAATAATATAATTTGTATATACAAATATATAAGTAAAAATATAAACAAAATTTTAATATAAATAAAAATTTATTTTTGCTATCTTTATTAAGTTTCGTTGTTAAAGGATGCCATCAAATTACTTTTTCACCAGGAGTCATAATAACACCATTTCTGATAACAACTTTAGTAGAAAACCAAAAGGAGCATTAGAAAAAAGATTTTAATACCACTATTGAACAATTGTTTAGTATGCTATATATTTTAAAGTTAAATCATTTATTATCTTCAACTACTATTGTTATAAAAATATTTTTACTTATTATTATGTATAAAACTACCAAGGTGCATTGTATACATGGCATAATAGCAACATATAAATAGAGGCAATACATAATTAATTGAACTTGTGCATCTTATACACTAGGATCACTCTAATCAGTCGTACCTCAAAACAAGTGTCCATATGAAATTTCCAAGAATTGTACCTTTTAGGATAAATTCTTAAGGAAAGTTCATACACATGTTAAATTAGCCAATGAAACTAAACAATCAATTATTCATAGCAATTAGCATTCAATTATATTTTAGTCCGTAGTACCAAAAATGGTGGAAGAAAGGGTAGGCAAGGAACGAAAATCTTCTTATATCCATGTCTATGATACATGAATGGGATAAAATTCTCGTAACACTAATCATACAATCTAGCCTTTAGTGTTTGTTCATTATTCAACCATATGCTTTCCAAAATGCTTCCAATCTCTTGACTTTCTGTCACTTATCTTTTGATATCATTAAAATTATTACAGAGGTTATGTTTATTATCATTTTTTCTTACTACCAATTTTATTATCGTTGGACTAAAATTTAATTAATAGTTCTCACTTAAAGTTATTTTGTAATCATTGATTTGATTTTGATCCAATAATAACAAAATTGATATTAAGATATAGTAAAAAAAAATATAATAGTAAGTATAACCAATTCTGAAACCATAATATACATTCCAAATGTTTTAGCTCATCACCAAGTCTTTTTTATATTAATCTATAATTTATTGATTATATTTCTTTCTAAATCAGGAGAATGTAATACAATTATACAATCCTATTATACTTTAGTGCTATACCTTTTAGCGAATTAAGTACTTCGGCAGACACCAATATCTACTTTCATTCTATGCCCCAAATAAGTTTTTATAAAATTTTGGTACATCCTTTTTTTTTGGTAACAAGAAATGGCTTAAAGCCAAGCAACACAGAAAGAAAACAAGAATGTTAGAAAATATTAACTATTCTATTTCTACCTACTGACGCGAGGTCCGTAAGAAATAGAAAACTAAGGTCCGGAGGAGGAGAGCCAAAGAACTTGTGGTTCTCCTGGATAGGTGGGGCTAGAAGATGATTTGCTAACCAGTCCACACAAGTATTTGCTTCCCGATACACATGTTGCAAATGAACACTCCATGGTCTGGCTAGCCAAGTCCGAATTCGAGTTACCATCTGGCACTCTCGAGCAATCTTACTCTTAGAAGTAAGTGTCGTGATGGCTACTGCTGAGTTACTTTTCAAAATCACTTTTTTATATTCTTCCTCCCAAGCAAATTCCATACTCTTCAAAATGCCCCATAATTCTGCACTATAAGCAGTACAGGTCCCTATTTTCTAAGAGAATCCTCCAATCTATTGGCCTTGATCTCCTTTGCAAATTCCTCCGTAAGCAGCTGGACCTGGGTCACCCTTAGCCGCTCCATCTGTGTTTCTACACCCGTCATTCCTCTGGAGCTTGCCAAGAAATCCATGCTTCATGCTTGGTTATTGTCTCTCGGTGCAAATTTGTTAGTGCAAAAGCTTGTTTGTTATTATTGACTAAGTCAATAATGTGCTCCTTAGAATGTTGTTGGTTGTTGCGCCTCTCACCATGAGCAATCTCATTTCTCCAATTCCACAATTGCCAGCAAGTTATCATGAACATTGATTCCCACTCTAACCCATCAATGCTTGCTCCTTTCCATTGGAGGTTAGCCTGAACCCATTCGCTATTATCTTTGTTAAAAAACCATTGAGTCTTCGTTGGCGCAATCAGCTTTAGCCAAAGTGCTCGAACCTCCTCACAATCCCTTAGAGCATGCATGGTGGATTCAATATAAGTGTGACAGATTGGGCAATAGGGATCAGTATTGCCCCAAGATGCACATGTGGCTCTAGTTAGGATCTTATTATGCAACAGTTTCCACACAAAGACCCGTATCCGTTGAGCACCTTTCCATTTCCAAACTTTTTGCCAAATTTCCTGGGGAACATGTGTCACAGTTGAAGTCTTTTCATCCAAGCAGTTATAAAAACCCTTGATTGTGGCCTCTGTTTTGTTGCTATTACACCAACCAAGTTTATCTGGTCCATCCTCTGGGAGAGGAGGAAGGCAACTGCGAATTTGATCTAATATGCTATTAGGTAACAAATCTTCCAACTCAGTAAAGTTCCACCTTCCATCCTCATGAAGAAAGTGAGAAATCTTCTTACACTGATCCTCTTGTGTCAGAGTTCCTACACAATAATCTTGTAGTGGGCCTTTCCTTAGCAACCATGAATCACTCCAGAAATTTATTGTATTCCCATTACCTACTGTCCAGTATTCCATTGGCTTCAACTTCTCCCAAACTCTACACATACTCTTCCAAAGCCGTGAGTCACCATTCTTTGAGAAAAAAAGGCTATTTGTCCTCTGGCTGGCTGCATATTTTGATGCTAACACCTTTATCCATAAAACATCTGATTTGTGTGTGTACTGCCAAATCAATTTCCCTAAGAATGCATCATTCATCATTTCCAATTTCTTCAAGCCGAGACCTCCCATTTCTTTCGGAGATGCCACTATGTCCCACTTTATTGCTAGGTAAGTCTTCCAATTTTGGTACATCTTATTTCAATAAATGTACGATATATTTATCCTATCAACTTCTATAAACATTTTGGGAAAAGTTCACCAATGGGTTTACTTCAGAAATCATCTATGCTCTTGTGACTTTTTTTTTGTATCTGTACTTTGTAAAATATAAAAAATCACAGGAGTATATGTGATAAAAAACATATCCTTTTGCAAACTATAGAGACATATATGATAAAAAAAAAACCACAGGAGCATAAGTGATTCTGAAGAAAACCACGAGGTCATTGGTGAACTTTTCCCAAACATTTTCTAGCTTAATTCTTCTAGGAAACATATTCCCCCATTTTTAATAATAATAATAATAATAATAATAAAATCATAAATCTTTTCGTTTCCAAATGTTAGCGTCATATGACTCATATCATAAATCTCCATTTTTCTCTCTAGTCGTGTGACATCTCTTACAAAAACAAACAAATAAATTTTAATAAAAAAAATAGAGTAAATATAAACGTAGTTTATTCGCATATGCCTTCCTTCGAGTTCAGAATCTCTCTCTCTTCGCAAAGAAAACTCATTGCAGCAGATTGCAGTTCATTCAGCTGATTAAATTTCGGTGAAAGGATCCAACCATTGCCTACAAAATCACAGGGCATAATTTCGTTGACGAAAAGAATAAAAAAAGAGAAAAACAAATTCAAAAACCTGATTGATGCGCATCGTTTGAGCCTCTTTGTGCAACAAAAAAAATAAAAATAAAAATAAAATAAAATGGCAAGGCCTTGATCTTTCGTTGTGGTAGTAACGATGGTGGCGTCGAGGAACCTGATGGGAGAGAGTGGGAGATTATTGAGGGACGAAGAGAATGCGGAGGAGGACTCGCCCTCGGCGAAGAAGCTTAAGCCAGAGAGATTCCCGCTTAATAGCTGGGAATTCGCTGCTGCTGTTGGCGTTTTCTTCGTTTTCTCTACTGGCTTGTTCTGCATTTACTTAACCATGCCTGCAGCCGAATACGGCAAGATCAAGCTTCCACGCACCGTTTCGGATCTACGCATACTCAAGTACGTCCATTTCCCCTAACCGTTTTTTAGTTGTCATTGTTGTTGGTTTTTCATAGAAAAAATTTCTAATGTAAATGTTACGAAGAGATTGTTCAGCTGCAAGAACCCCCTTTTTTTCTTTTGGTAAAAATTAAACAAATTCACTCACTCACTTAGTATTAGTATGTGTGCTGCATTTTTACTTCATGCGTTGCATTAAACATGTAGAAGTGAGTGGAATAAATGCAATTAGGTGAGTCATGTGTTTCTAATTTTAGAAGGTGTAGCAATAAGTCCTCAACGACCGTCAGAGCATTGATAAAGTTGCTCCTTTTACAAAATGCAAAGGTAAGACCATGTTCAATTAACTCGCACCTCTACTCTTGTAAGTTGGAGAGGCTTGTGTACTGAGTTTGCCCTTCCTATAGGCAATGGCGGAGCGAGGGAGAGGCTAGGGAGGGCAGTCGCCTCCCTTTCAAATTTGTATAAGCCTTTAGTTGTGAACGTTATTTGTGTTGTTTTTGGTCATATAAACAATTGTCGTTTCCCTTCAAATTCTTAGAAGTCTTTAGTTATGAACATCATTTATGTTCTTTTGGTTAGATAGATAGCTATAACTTAGGATAAATATTACACATGCAATTTTGCTCCCTTCATTGTGTTGTTTTTGGTCATATAAACAATTATCGTTTCCCTTCAAATTCTTAGAAGTCTTTAGTTATGAACATCATTTATGTTCTTTTGGTTAGATAGATAGCTATAACTTAGGATAAATATTACACATGCAATTTTGCTCCCTTCATAAAATTGTCTGGTTCTGCCATTGCCTATAGGAGTACTGAAAATTTATCTGTTGTGAAAATCTGTGTTGCATAGTGCAGTGCTATAGCATGTAAGAATTTTCCCTTTAGTTGACGTATGGAAATTTTCCTTTTCTTTTGGTAATTGAAATGACATTCTTTTTTGAAACGGTACTTTTTTTTTTTTTTTTTTTTTTCTTTTCTGCAGAGAGAGTCTTTCAACTTATGCAAGAAATCATCCTGCACGATTCATTCTTGGTTACTGCTCCACCTACATCTTCATGCAGACTTTTATGATTCCAGGAACAATTTTCATGTCTTTGTTAGCTGGAGCTCTTTTCGGAGTTGTTCGAGGAATTCTATTAGTTGTTTTCAATGCTACCGCGGGAGCATCTTCTTGCTTCTTTTTGTCTAAGTTGATTGGACGGCCTTTAATTTCTTGGTTGTGGCCTGAAAAGTTAAGGTTTTTCCAAGCAGAGGTTTGTTTTTGTTCTTAGAAAGTTTATCTGACAATTGGCTTTTAGCATCAGCTTTAGCCGTGTTAACCTTGTTTTCTTTTGTTAAATCAGATTGCAAAGCGCAGGGATAAGCTTCTGAATTACATGCTTTTTCTGAGGATAACCCCAACATTGCCTAATCTTTTCATCAATTTGGCATCCCCAATTGTTGATATACCATTTCATATCTTCTTTTTGGCAACATTGGTTGGTCTTATTCCAGCCTCTTATATTACTGTCAGAGTAAGCTTTGTGCCCTTCGTTCTATTATTGTACAATATGCTCATTCTTTGTACTTCTTTCTTTTCCTGAATTTTGAACTCTATAGTTAGCTAGTCTAAATATTCATATTTTATTCATTAATTATTATTTTGTGTTTATACCTCATATTGGTCAAATTCTTATAGCTACCTGTTGGTTCTACTTTAGAAACATTTTAACAGATTAAACTGTAGAACTTCGTGATTGTATTTACTAGTGTAAATTACAATTTACAACCCTATACTTGGGTCCTTTTCCAGAAGACCATCATGTAATTTCAATTGAAACACTTTACCTACTTACAAGATATAATTACAACAATTAAATATATATGTTAATTTTAAGAAAAAACACCCGTATTCCTCACTGCTACCACCGTGCACCACCAGCCACTAACATCCTTTGACAAAGTAGAGCTTTCGTCTTGCTTGGTTTCTTTGCTTTTTCCTTATTATCTGTCGGTGATGGCTGATAATTCAGCAAGCAATGGAAACCACGAGAATGTTTTAAATCTAAACATTGATGCCTCCAAAAAGTGTGACAACCCAGGTATCGACGATTGTGTGCAAGTTTTGCAAACGGTGTCTGTCCTATTTTTTTCTTGTCATCTTTGTTTGTTCTCTACCGACAACTCATTCAAATGCTGTGTTTCCTTTCCCAACAGATGGGTTTTTATGAAACGAATTGTTGTCCCTGATAAAATTCCAATTCTTTTTTGTTCTTATAATCCCGGAACTGTAGTCTCTTTTAAATGAATTTATCGATTATAATTCCCAACCCGTATTACATTGGACATCTCAGTCAATCTTTTTCAGCCTTAGTCATTGTATATGCGGCAGAAGCCTAGCATTTTTTAAAGAAACCACTTTAGGAGGGGTATTGGGGATTACACCCCTAAAAGAACATAGAACGTGTCTGTGGGTTTTGGAGGGAAAGCTGTTAGTTACAACAATTTGCTTAAGAGAGAGAGGGAAAGGGTGTAAGGGGGTTATCTTTGGAGTTGGGGGAATAGTTTGGGAGAGATCAGAGCCTGAATGCTGTTGGTAACTGTTTTCTTCTTCTTTATTGTATTTCTTTATACCATATCCGGATATCTCATTGATATCCGTCTTGCTCGATTCCTTACACATTTATTCATTTCTTATGATATCTCACCCGTAATGCCTAGTGCCACAAAACTTAAAAAGATAAAATAAAACATCACATGATAAAAAAAATAAAATGGTTATTATAGAAGATAATGAGCCAGAGTGATGAAGATGGCTATGGGTTGGGAATAAGGGAGGGGTTCATCTTAACAATATAAAGATACTACTTTTAGAAAGCCCTAAAAATGTGAAAATAAACTGATTATCATGAAGAGATGGCTATGGGATGGGAATTAGGGAGGGGTTCATCTTCTTAACAAAATAAATATAGTACTTTTAGAAAGCCCTAAAAAAGTTAAAATAAACTGATTATCATCATATTTCATATTGTCCTGACTAAAATAAACTTCATCCCACGGTGGGTCATTGTTCCTCAAAGCTAGAGTCATATCTCCAAACTCCACCAACAACTCCCTTTAATTCCGTGGCAGATCCATGAGCGGGAGCCCACAGGTGATGCTCTAGTCTTCCTTACTGGTCAAGATGATATTGATGCTTCTGTTCAGTTACTCACTAAAGAAGTTCAAACCAAAGGAAAATACTCTACAGGATTGATTGTTTTGCCTCTGTATTCTGGACTTCCACTTGCTGAGCAGGAGTTAGTGTTTTCTCCAATTCCTAAAGGAAAGAGGAAAGTCATAATTTCTACAAATATATCAGAAACATCTCTCACGTTGGGGGGCATTGTCTATGTTGTTGACAGTGGATTCTGCAAACAGTGGTTCTACAATCTGATTACTGACATTGAAAATCTGGTTGTGGTACCAATGCGTGGGGCTTCTGCTAGAGAAAGAGCTGGATAAGATTGACCAGGAAAGTATTACAGGTTATATACAAGAGTATTCTTTTAACAACCTGTCTAATGAGGGAATTCCTGAGATACAGAGATCAACTCTTTTTTCCTGTGTAATCCAGTTAAAGGCCTTGGGGTCGATAATATCTTTGGCGTGACTGGCCAGCATCTCCTACATCCTTCCTTGCTCCAGTATCCACGTTCAGGGCATATGCTTCTTTTGCTGTGAGCCTGTCAACCATGGGATGGAAATTGTGAGCAATGTAAGCTGCCAAAATGAACAACCATGTGCTCCCTTGCCCCATTGTTGTTAGTAGTGTAGGGGAGATTTTCAGTGGAGTGTAGGGGAGATTTTCAGCGGAGCGGCAGCTATTTCATTGAGTTTCAAGCAATGGGACCATTATTGGAGTTTTGTGACTGTCCTAGATAAGTCTCAGCCCTTCACCTTGAGGACAAGGTGAATCTTTTTTTTTGTGTGTGGGGAAAGTAAGTTACAAGAAATAATGATGGACCCAACGGACCATGAGGGCCAGCTTCTACTAGTTAGGCTTAGTTCCCAAACTGGGGTGGTTAGGAAAATTTGAATAGAATGAGTTAGTTTGGTCATTGGGATTATATACAGAGTTGAGGGAATACATGTAGGGAGTCAGACAGTTAGTGAAGTGAGGCAAGGCTAGAGACTAAGATTTCTCTGAAGGTTAGGAGTGTTGTTATTATAATTTTCTACCTCACTCATTAGGAGGGAGGAATTTATCAATAAAATTTCAATATTCGATTCCCAATTCCAATTCCCAATTTGTCAATAAAGATTCAAACCCAATTCTTGAGGTTGTTTTTACTTTTTATTTATAATGAAGTTTTATTAAAAAGAAAAAAGCTAAAGTACATCTACAGGTTGATAACATTACCTAACTGAAAAAGCAAGATACAAGGTAGATGAAAAATAACTATAGCAAGGATGCCCTGTCTCTGCATATCAGAAATGGCAACTCCATTGAAACAGTCATGAGCAGAACATCAAGGAGAAGCCGTAAACATATTCTTGTTAGAGGCAGCGTTGAAGATGTGATTATTTTGCTACAGTGAAATGAACTGTGTTAATTAACTACATTGCCCAAATTTAGCATCCTTGTTTGTACCAAAACCTTTATTTCTAACCATCAAAAGCTGCTGCTTTGCAGAAACCCATCTGGGAGAAGGGATTTTTTTTGAGCAGTAATGAAACACTGAATAAGCTTTAGGCAGCCCATGATGATATTGTCTGTTTGAATTTGAAAAGCTACTTGAACACTGCTATTATAACTTCCTGTTCTCCTCGTTGATATAAAAAAGTTTTTTTTTTTGGCAACTTTTGTTAGAGAAGGCATTGTTTGTAGTACCAAACTTGTTAAGGACTCCTCCATTAGGGATTCCTCAGCTTCCCATGAGTACTTTATTGTCACGGAACTGCTTCCAAACACGTTTTCAAGTATTTAGCTGGCATAGGTTATTGACATTATGAGAATGGTTTAACTTTGTTATCCAGTACTCACGTATTCAGCTTCTAAATAACAACAATAGATTTGTTGCACATGTACATGTTTCTCTGATCATATTAGCTGGGTTGATCTTAATCATTAGTACGGTTTTCTCATTTTACCTTTCCATGTTGATTTTAACGGGCATTTTTTTGCTCACTTTTAATTCTACACTCATGGGTGGAGAGGCTAAATATTTTGCTTTATCTAAACTTTCAAGATAGCTGTTTTTCTGCATTTCTTTCATTTTACTCCTAACATTTCCTTTGTTGTTTATTAACCAGGCTGGCCTTGCTCTTGGGGATCTAAAGTCAGTGAAGGATCTATATGATTTTAAGACATTATCAGTGCTGTTCCTAATTGGTTTAGTTGCCATATTTCCAACACTAATGAAGAAGAAGCGAATCTATGAATGAAAATTGAGCTGGCACAGTTTGCTAAATCCTGTCCCAGAGGCAAGTCACATGAAAAGGGTTGTATATTGGAAAGTGTGTCATATGCTCCGTTTTATTTCCTTTTTATGGAGCATCTAAAATTATTCATTCTTTAGCCTTGATGGCATCAGAAAAGATGTGGTTGGTGAATGTTTTGTGGGGCTGTATGCACCCGTGCCTTATACCATATAGGAACTAACTTCGCTGTATTATTTTTTTTCTCAATCCAATAAGATATAGTAGACAAGTTCTATCCGTACTCTGTCATTAGATTCAACTTCTGATATTGTCCAACTTGAACTTGAAGCTCTCTAGCATTTATCAATTCATAGTCATGAAAAGGGTCTCGGGGTGAGGGAAGATACACATAATTGTTGGTAAGTAACATTTAGAAAGGAGAAAAGTCACAAAAAAAATATTATTGTTTTCGTAAAGAACATGTACTAAATGTTATAATATATTGATTAATGGGCTTAAAGGAATAAATCTAAGTCTTAATAAAATAAAGAAACAAATAATTGTAATATTAATTAGAGATAATTATAATATTTATCATTCTTAACTTGTTAGTAAGTTTTTGAAATTTGTCAATAGGAAGTTGTTATCTAATTTCTCTTTGATGAAGTGTTTGATTTCAATATGTTTGGTTTGGTCATGTTGGACAAGATTGTGTGCTACACTTTCTCTTTTCGTATGCTTTGGGAAAGTGAACTTTGCAAATGACAAATGAACCCATATGTGGTGTGCATATATCATGGTGTACTTTGTTAATGACAAGTGAGCTTTCATATGTGGTGCCATGTATTGATGTGCATATGATTGCTAAATTATGAAGTTTGTAAGTGATGTGTTTGTTAAGAATTGAAGAAGTTATCCCCTCAAAGGTTATGGGATGATCTCATATGGATAAGGGAGGGATGATTCCTTGGAAAAGCGGGATGACCTAGGTGCTGTTGTCCCAATAAGGGTGGACAATCCGAGTGACTATGGACAGGGATGACCTGTTGTGGTTTGAGCTCGCCATAGGTAGGCATCCAAGGCACATATAGGATAATGGCTTGAGCAACCATTACAATGGATGATGTTGAATGGAAATTGTATCGGTATAACTATACCCTAAAATCGTTTCAAGTCTATAGTTACTTAATAAGCGGGTAGTTGCTAAAGATGTGTACCACATTTTGACTTGGTCTTTGGTAACCATCTGAAGCCTAATTTCTGACTTGGTACAACCGAAAAACCAACATTGTCCAACTTGGTCCAAATATCCCTATATACTATAGACTTAACACATGGAAAATTTTAAGGTACCACGGTGGTACTATTTACTCAGTAGGAAAAACCAATCACAAAAAGAGAGAGAAGATGAAAGTGGGATAAAAAAAATAAAATAAATACAAGTGGCAAATTTTGAAAGGAAGTGGTATGTACGACGGTGGCACCAAAAGTTTGCTCCTAACACTTGGTGGAGATCATTTATTATGCTATGGGACTACCATTGATTGGGTGGTCTGTTGGGTTTAGTATGCTCTTTTCACTTAAGCCCAATGGCTTTAGTGAGAATGAGCCCAAAGTCCAATTTTAACCCATGAAGCTTAGGGTTAGTTTTGGATTGGGCAGGGTATATAAACACACTTTTCTCTCTTGTGCCTCCTAGGGTTACAGACATCAGAAACACACCTAAGAGGCAGACGTTCATCATCTGAACGGTTGCCCACTCGACCACCTGATCCCCTTGAGTCATAGCCTGGAAGATCAACCGTAGAGCGGAATTGCGACCGTTCGTGCTGCGTTGCTGCAGATCGTGAGGCTTGAGGAGGAGAACAGAGAGTGAGAAATTGTCACGCTCACTGCTTCATCTCAGGTAATCAAAGCGGTGTTCTTCATTCCTCATCACATCGGTACGATGCGCTTCCGCGTTTCTGATGATATACTTTCAATTGGTATCAGAGCCAGATTGTGATGGGGATTTAGATCAGCTTTGATTTATTTATTTATTTTTGTGATTTCGAAAATATGGCACCTTTATTCTGTATCTGTTATTGATACTCATGTTTTAATTCTTTATAGTTCATTTTCATAAAAGTTTAGATTTTAATCGGTAAAAATGCTTTAATCCATGGTTACGGTCTCTCGTGTATTTCTCGATTTGTAACAAGGAGGCTAATCCCATATGATTAGGTTTCCTCCTTGTTATTTTTTTTTTCGGAATTTTTGTGTATTTTTCAATATTTTGTAAAAATTCAAGATCGAGAAACCACGAGGAAGATGCGCAGTCAGCACTGTCGGAGACTTTTCGAGGACTTCCAGATCTCAGAACGGGATGACTATATATGGTTGGAAAGAGGACAGAAAGACGAACGCAACGGTGGGTGGATCGCCGCCATCGGAGCCTCCACGCTACTCCACGCGCCTCCACAAGCGGATGAGAGTGGCCTCCACTCTCCGGCAAAGAATGGGAAAGTGAGGGAGCGTCCGGCCACCTTTTTGGGTGGTTCCGGGGGCGGTGCACTCGTCTCTATGTGGCGGTCCTTCCCCTGGAGTTTCGGCCTGATTTGACTTCGGGTGACGGCACGGCAGACCTGACGGTTAGGGTTCCTCTTTCGCTTCCTAGGGTTTCTCGCCAAAGGATTGAGTCTTTGGGCTTTTGGGCCCATGGAAACCCTGAAAGGGCTTGAGACAGATACTATGGGCTAGGCGAAAGTCGAATTCCAAAGTTGTAATATTTTATTTTATTTTATTTTCTTTAAAATAGGAAGGCCGTGGATTAAAGTAATTAGGATTTATTATTTAATGCTTTTATTGAATGATATGAATTATATGTGCGATCAACATGATATTTGCGATAACATGTCATATAGGATAGGAAGGTGCCATATTGTTGCATGATCACATGTCATACGTGCATATTTACTATTATGTCATTACCGACTAGTATGATAGTTTATGCGCGTAGTTTTTGATTTTAAATATTCCAGTAAAATAAAATTATGATTATTATGATTTTGGAAACAAAATCTAGGTTAATGGTTATATTAATTTTGAAAATTAATTTAATTATTATGATTTTGGTAAAATCTAGAATAATCAAATTGATTAATTTTGGAGTTTAAAATCAAGACAATTAGTAAGAAAATTTCCTAAGAGAATTCTTTTATTTTGCGAGTAATTTGTTGGTCTACTAAAATGGTCATGTGTTAAACACACGCTGCATACCACAATCATGTATCATGATTGTGTGAAGCACATGCTGCCTGTCATGACCGAATTTTAGGACCTTAATGATTTCAAAATTCAGATAAGCTAAGTGATGCACGTTCATCGACGCTCTTGCTTGCATAGTTTTTGAAATCAAACAAAGGATACTCTCAATTAGATAATTCTTGGAAATTGGAAAATAATGCTTATGTTGAATAGAAGGAGATTTAAATTAAGAAATTAATTTAACCTTCAAGCGTAATATAGGACCATTAATAAAATAATCATGTGAAGTCCCATCGAATAAGCATGATTGGATTTTATTAGATTGGACCTAAACAATTATGGGAGGAGATTTAAATTAAGAAATTAATTTAACCTCCAGGCGCATTGTGGGCCTATCAATAAAATAATCATGTGAGACCCCAACAGATTAGCATGATTGGATTTTATTGGGCCTTAATAATTTCAAAATTTTAATAAAGTATTGTACGACCCATTGTCGATAATACTAAGTTATTAAAGATAATTTTGAAATTAAACAATGAATTTGACAGGGCTTATGAAAATTCTCAAACAAAAATGTTGAATAGGTGAAGGTTTTAAAAATTAATTAATTTTAAAACCTGCGGGCTCCATTTGTGGATTTATTAATGAAATGGTTATCGCTGAAGCCCCATCAGATAAGGATAATCAGATTTCACTAGATTAAATCTTAATAATTTCAAAATTTTAGTAAAGTATTGTACGGCCCATCGTCGGCAATGCTTAGACACTAAGGATAATTTCGGAATTAAACAATGGTTAATTACATTCAACTTTGGTAAAATTGTTAACCTCTAATCGAGGCTCTGGCAATGGCACTGAAGGCCCAAATAACAATTTTCGTTTTTACAAGTGACTTGCCCATCGTAAGCCTTGTAAAGATAAACTGAAGGATTGTTAATAATAAACAAGAGTAGTTATGAGAATCTACTTGCACTCTATTTTTTTATTGCATTATTTGTTTGTAATTGTGTGCTTTATATGTTTTTCAGAAAATATCTTAGAAATGATTTTGAGTCGAAAACCTCTAGATGGTACCAACTATGAATAAGTGAAAAACAAATTTTTGATATTGTTCTAAAACATTGAAGCTAAAATTTGTCCTGACAATGCGAGGGCCATAGCAACCTCCAGAGGATGCGTCTAAGGAAACTAAGATGCATTTCTTAGAATAGGAAATGACAGATATGGTAGTTCGCTGCTATATTATTGTCAGTCTTTCCAAATACTTGCAGAAGCAAGTGTACATGATTAAGAGTGGAGTAGAAATGCTTCAGACTCTTAATGACATGTTTGCTGCGTCTAGCAGCTCTTCTAGACAGAATGCAATCGATGCAGGTTTTGCTAAGAGTCTTGTTAAATTCAAAGGGAAACCCAAGGGTGGTAACAAGAACAAAATGACTTGGTTATCAGTTGTCAATCCAGTTGCTATGAAGAAGCCGCAAGGCAAGTTCTTCAAGTGCAGACTGAAGGGATACTGAAAGAAAAATTGCCCAGAGGTGATGAAAAGAACCAGACATGGGCATATCAAGGCCTGATCAGTGAATGAATTATTGATTCAGGAATCACTGATTATGTTTGTTACTCTTTGTAGTAGTTCAAACATGGCATACCTGTCAGCAATGGACATAGATATTTTAAGCTTGAAAATGGGAACTTGTGTCTGCATTTGCAGTAGGACAAGTTATTTATAAGACTATGGTTTTGGGTGACTGTTTATTTGTTCCAGATTTCAAGAGGAATTCAATTTTTGTTAGTTGTTTTGGTTAAAACATGGTTTGACAATGCAATTGATTCCTCAGTTATATTTCGAAGTTCATCTTCGTCTTGTTTTGTTCTGGTACATTATTTAAATAGTCTTTATTACCTATGTCCTATACCCTTTTAAATTTGTTATGTTGAATGGAAAATGTGATGAACAAGAACATTCACCAAAGAAATAAAAGTTTCAAATGAAA